GTAATTAGGCTACACATATAAAAATACTAAGTCCAAAGGCCTGTGTAGAGCCTTAACTATGTATGACCCTTCTGTGCTCTACTGTAGAGGATTACGAGTCGTAATCCATTTTTCGTGCTTCAGTGATACAGCGGGAATTTCTGTCATCACTTCAACCGCAATCAAACTCCGACAGCTGTACTTCGGCCTGCATGTGACTTGAGTTTAAAGGAATAAGAGTGAAAGTAAGACTGACGTTCAGTGATACGCTGCGTTATTACACAGTTGACGGCCAGTGGCTAAGCCCAAAAACTTAAAAATACTTACGGGGGCTTTTATAGCAGGCAGTTAGTTGCACTGGAGGATTTTTCAGTAGACGTTTCTTTTTTTATTTATTATCTGCTTGCAAACCTCAGATCTACATCTTCGCACATTGGACAGATCTTTAAAGTTAGTGTTTTAGATGTAAAAGCTGAACAGGATGCAACTGATTTTGTCTCGTATTGTATATATATATCTAATGGCCCACAGAGATTACTAAGGATTAATCAGAAACCACAATCAAGGAACTGCAGGTCTAGGACAAGACCTAACTATTGTACATTAACCTTTCAGCCTTTCAAAACGTTGCCTCTCCTTGATAACTCTTTCTAAATACAGCATGCCTACTTGGGTGAAAGTACCAGGCCCTTATCTGTAACTGGTATCTTAAGATACAGAGTTCTTCAAACAAACACATCTGGTATTTGCACAAAGGGCAACGTTCTCCAGTGCATTCTTGCGGGAATGACTCTGTCCTGTATTTTCTCAGAATGGGGAAAAAAAAAGTATTTTGACAGCCGAAACACGACATTAAAGAAACGCTGTCTGGAATTGTATCGAGCCAACCGGACCAACTCTGTCTTTCAAAGCGCAGTAGGTGCAGCTGCAGTTCTGACGCCTGCATCATGCCACAAGATTTGGCGAGCTGCAGCACTCAATCGACGAGGGTCACAGCTCCCTTCCAATCAGCGTGGAACCTGCTTCCTGTCCATCAATAATAATAATAATAATTGCTTACACTTATATAGTGCTTTTCTGGACACTCCACTCAAAGCGCTTTACAGGTAATGGGGACTCCCCTCCACCACCACCAATGTGCAGCCCCACCTGGATGATGCGACTGCAGCCATAGTGCACCAGTACATTCACCAAACATCAGCTATGAGTGGGACGGAGAGCAGAGTAATGAAGCCAATTCATAGATGGGGATTATTAAGAGGCCATGATTGGTAAGGGCCAATGAGAAATTTGACGCCAGGGTTACACCCCTACTCATTACGAGAAACACCCTGGGATTTTTAATGACCACAGAGAGCCAGGACCTCGGTTTTATGTCTCATCCAAAGGGTGATATGGCTGATATGCAGGGTGATATGGCTGCTGGGT